GCCAACATCGACATCTCAAACTGGGAGGAGCTGGCAGAGGATCAATCCTCATGGCGGAACATCGTGAAGGCAGGATCATTACATGCCGAGGAGCAAAACCTGCGGAAACAGCTGAAAAAAGAGCGAGGAGGAAGGCCGGTAAATTCTGCTCCACCGCATTCGTGTGTGGGGAAATGTAACAGAGACTGCCATTCGAGGATTGGTCTCACCAGCCACACCAAGATCTGCAAGCAATAAAGATAATCTATCGTCTCCCCCAGACGGAAAGATGCCATACAATAAAATATGGGGAATAGAAGTGTAACAGATGACCCACACCACCAGCCATGCTACAGGTTTATATCAAAGATGACCCACACCAGCCATGCTACAGGTTTATATCAAAGATGACCCACACCAGCCATGCTACAGGTTTATATCAAAGATGACCCACACCAGTCCTACTACAGGTTTATATCAAAGATGACCCACACCAGCCATGCTACAGGTTTATACGAAACGATGTACTCTTATAAACATCCTTAGATGTTGATGGCCCAGAATCCTTCCTTTGTAATGACAGTGATATGTAATATCATCATGGTAGTGAGAGTGACATAAAAATATCTTGGTAATGACAGTGAGATGTAATATCATCTTGTTAGTGACAGTGACATAAAAATATCTTGGAAATGACAGTGATATGTAATATCATCTTGGTAGTGACAGTGACATAAAAATATCTTGGTAATGACAGTGATATATAATATCATCTTGGTAGTGACAGTGACATAAAAATATCTTGGTAATGACAGTGATATATAATATCATCATGTTAATTAAAACATAGTTAGATCAATAAAGGCATCTTATCTTAGATAACACCTTGGTAACTGGCGTAGATAAAATATCACCTAGGTAATGACAGGATTGCCATGTAATGACAGGATAGATGACATTGCCATGTAATGACAGGATAGATAACATCACCTTGGTAATGACAGGATAGATGAAATTGCCTTGGTAATGACAGGATAGATGACATAACCTTGGTAATGACAGGATAGATGAAACTGCCTTGCTAATGACAGGATAGATATCACCTTGGTTATGACAGGATAAATTGCATCACCTTATAATTGCGTGTATATTTGACATTGATTTTAACTGTGTGGTAATTAAACTTTTTAAAATCAATTTCAGGCCCGACCGCCAAGGCCCTCCTCCTGACCGCCACAGTGGAAGGAATGGTCGATTTTCTCCAGGGGGTAGGGGCAGCCGAGGGGGTCAGTGGGGGAGAGGCAGAGATATGGGTGAACCAGGGTAAGTCGTGGTCATAAATTTTAAAGAAAGAACTTATTTATTACACAGTGAGTTAAACGGAGCAAAGATTATTCACCCTCTACAAACTTATTTGATTATTGAGTTTTGTTTTTGAATTCAGATTATTGAAATGTACGAATAATTTGACATTTCCTGGAAAATCTTGACTTTCAAAGGAAGATCCAAGCGGCAATTTATTTTCCAGATGGTTTGTTTTTACTTGAGAGAAGGGTTATGATGGCTGACAAATTTTAAGCTTCATTTATGAGGTGACCCAGTTTTAGAGAAGGTCATAGGGTTTCCGTACGTTGAAGAGATATCAATATCTAGATGTCACACATATGAAGATGTGTACCACTAATGGGAGACAAGTAATATGGTTAATATTTATTGTATAATATACAGAGTGTGGGGACTTGGGAGAAACTGGCCAATCAGAGTTTTAGTTGAATAATGGAGTTTGTTTTGGAATGGAGTGATGAATGGCAGAATGAACAGCTACCGTTGTTGATCATGCAATAGGACGGTGACACTATATTAAAGTTAAGGTCATTTTGAAGGTTTATTAAGCTGAAAAGAAATACATGTTTGAGATAAAGAAGTTTGGGTATGTGGTCACCGTAACAGGTAGAGAAGGTTGGGTATGTGGTCACCGTAAAAGGTAGAGAAGGTTGGGTATGTGGTCACCGTAACAGGTAGAGAAGGTTGGGTATGTGGTCACCATAACAGGTAGAGAAGTTTGGGTATGTGGTCACTGTAACAGGTAGAGAAGGTTGGGTATGTGGTCACTGTAACAGGTAGAGAAGGTTGGGAATATGTTCACTGTAACAGGTAGAGAAGGTTGGGTATGTGGTCACCGTAACAGGTAGAGAAGTTTGGGTATGTGGTCACTGTAACAGGTAGAGAAGTTTGGGTATGTGGTCACCATAACAGGTAGAGAAGGTTGGGTATGTGGTCACTGTAACAGGTAGAGAAGGTTGGGTATGTGGTCACTGTAACAGGTAGAGAAGGTTGGGTATGTGGTCACCGTAACAGGTAGAGAAGGTTGGGTATATGGTCACTGTAACAGGTAGAGAAGGTTGGGTATATGGTCACTGTAACAGGTAGAGAAGTTTGGGTATGTGGTCACCGTAACAGGTAGAGAAGGTTGGGTATGTGGTCACTGTAACAGGTAGAGAAGTTTGGGTATGTGGTCACTGTAACAGGTAGAGAAGGTTGGGTATGTGGTCACCGTAACAGGTAGAGAAGGTTGGGTATGTGGTCACTGTAACAGGTAGAGAAGGTTGGGTATGTGGTCACTGTAACAGGTAGAGAAGGTTGGGTATGTGGTCACTGTAACAGGTAGAGAAGGTTGGGTATGTGGTCACCGTAACAGGTGGAGAAGGTTGGGTATGTGGTCACTGTAACAGGTAGAGAAGGTTGGGTATGTGGTCACTGTAACAGGTAGAGAAGGTTGGGTATGTGGTCACCGTAACAGGTAGAGAAGGTTGGGTATGTGGTCACCATAACAGGTAGAGTTTTTCTATGTATTCATTGTAAGGCCTAGGAGTTGTATGTACTAAATTTCTGGAAAGTGCCGAGCTTGACTGTTACTGGTTTCCCAGCAATTCCTGAAAATGTTGATAATCTTTATTTAAAGTCAAATTTCAAACACCAAAAGTCCTTGGGCTGATTAAGATGGGTCCACATAACGCTGTCCTTCATTGATTAATTTTTTCTTATTCATAACTTAATCCACAAGAATTTGAACTAATAGTTTTTAATTGCCTCATTGGGTATGTGGTCACTGTTACAGCCGGGATGTTAGAAATCACTTTGAGTTATAAAAAATTCGAGTTAAGTGACTTTAACTTATGTGCAGTGCACTGTATTAAAGAGAATACCTGATCAGCCGGGTATAGCACATGATGAGATTACATAAATATTAGCTAGGAAGTAGCACATGATCAGATTGATGAGATCAAAATCGTGATAATATATTGATCAGCCAGGTAGAAGCACATCATGAGATCACAAACATATATTAATCAGCCAGGTAGAAGCACATCATGAGATCACAAACAAGACATTATATAGTTGATCTTTCATCAACACTATAACAGTGTGTTCAGACATGTAAGCCATAAAAATATTAATTTCCTTGATTTATTCTTAGAAGGGAGATAATTGTTGCTGAATATTGTCTAAATGCAAATTGCTCTGGTCACTCCGCATGTTCCCCTTTGAAATGTCCTGCTTAATTTTGTTTCAGGCGTTTTGCTGGTGGAAGTTTCCGAGGCAGGCGTGAAGGTGGTCGACATGTCCGCTCATTCACTAAATAAATTATTTTATGATTGTGCATCTTTGAAAATGTTAGTCACCAAAACTGATTTTATTTGTAGAGTGGTTATCAAACTTTTCTTGTTTTTTTAATGTGTGAAATGATTAAATCTGAGAGTGCTTCTTTTTTTAAGGTCTCTTTTCTGCATGTGTAAGTGTTCCAGTTGGAAAGGATTGAAATGCAGCTGGGAGATGTTTCTAAGACTAAGTAGATTTTAACAATTGTTTAGTGAACATTTTTATTCTCCCAATCTTAGTTGGAAAACGATTAGGGAAATAGATTAACTTTTTTTAATAATTTAAAAAGATCGGAAATTCTTCAACTGTCAGCGCTCACAAGAGGTAAAGCTTTAGTAAAGAGAGACAAAACAAATATAATGCTATTTAACCACACTTGTAGGGTGTTTCAGTCTTATCAGTTTTGCTAATCTTATTTTTTAACTCTTGTGAAGTATAATTAAATATACCCTGTACAAGTCTGTACAAATGAAAACCTTTTTTTTTCCCTAGTGGCAAGGAATTGGTTTAAATTCTGTTGTTTGTATCACAGCATATGGAGCCCCAATTTCACAAGGAATTGGTTTAAATTCTGTTGTTTGTATCACAGCATATGGAGCCCGAATTTCAGATAGCTGTAGTTTTTATTCGTTAGGAAAAAATAGAGCGCTTTTGGAAAGTTTCTTAAAATGATGATCCACACAGGGGCAGCAACTCATAATGTAAATAAATGACTCAAAGGAGACTCATTGGGGCCGTTGAAATGATATGCCTCATTGTAGGAAGCTGGGGCAGTTAAAGCGTATGTATTTACAAACTGATTGTTTCAACATAGTGGTTTTGTATAAATTATACATACATTGTAAATAAACTTTAACTTCTGAGAATTACAAGCCTGAGAAACTGTTGTTAACATTTAACAGTAGGTTCTGGTGCTAGTGTCTCCGAACTTTAATATCATCATTTGTAAGGCTTTTCAATGATCAAGTGATTTTCTCCCTTTTCCAATAAAATAATTTGTCCTGTACTGTAAATTTTGCTCTTATCGATACTTAATACTTTGTCATATCTGTCAATGTAAATGTTATGTATGACATTGTAAATGTTTTTTTTTTAAACTGTTATTGCATTTGTACAAATTAAATGCCAATAAACTCCTAGATCAATGCCTTCAGTTATTTGCACACTTATGGTTTGAAATCTGTTGGAGGCTGATTGAAATGGATATTACTACACAATGTCAGAACAATTATGAAGATAGTAAAAATGTTTCTTTGACTGAAATAAACTAAAATATCAGGTAGTTTGTCTTTACCTTTCTGACATCTTTGAAGTGAAGTCAGTAAATCAAGTCTCAAATTGGAAGGAAAAAAACGTTATTTGTGTGTTCAATATTTATTCCATAATACTGAATTAAACATTTTATGAAATGTACATTCGATTTACACGTTCAAGGAACTACTACAATTTACCTTCACAGTGCCAACATTTGTTTACATTGGAAATAAAATTTTAACATAATAAATAAATAATGGAACAAGATATGTTAAGGGTTTTAAAAAAAGACAACAAAATAGCTCCATATTTGGTGAAATGCAAAATTTGCAAATAATTCAAACACCTTTTTGCTACAATTCCTTTTTTTTAAACATGTTTACAGATATCACAGTAAAACAGCATTATTTTTCATCATTTCTTTTGGATTTAAAGCAGATGCTTACTCTTGTAAACAATCTGTTCAAAATTGCATAATTTCGCCCAAACACATCTTTTTACAAAACCTCTTTGTTCAAGTGTATCCAAGCCATTACAAAACTTCAAATGGTTATTTTGAACAGCTTAATTGCTACATCTACACAGAGGTATGAAGATGCTTCACTAACTGGTTGATTTCATTCTCTTTTTCATTTAACCAGTCCTCATAGTTCACACCTGATTTTGATTTGCCTAAGCTCCGCAGATACAGTCGTAAAGCACCGTCTTGGTGAACAGGAAGCAGAGACCTGCCATCAGGAACATTAGGCTGGTTCTTGTAAGGCAAAGAATGACGTGGGGACTTCTCCAGTTTCTCCTGTTCTCTTTCAGCCAGCCACATCTCATAGCCGAGCTTTTCATTTTCTTCTTTTTGCCTTTGATATTTAAAAAGAAAAGTTTATCTATTGTAAGGCTTATTATAATTTAACTTATTTGAGCAGGCTAAACTTTAACCTATAAATAACTTTAATAACATTGTATAAATATTTTACATTTAAATGAACACAATATGAATTATATTTTTTATTATCTGAAAAGTTTAGTCTACTCACTTTTCCTCTTCTTCCAGTTTCCTCTGCATTTCTTCCTCTGCCTTTTTTTTGTTTTCAGCCATAATCTTCTTCTGAATTTCTTTCTGTTTTCCTACCCACTCCTCATAAGACAACGGTTTCTTCATTCTAAAAAGGTTTACATTTTTAAATATCTATGAAACCAATTCATTATTCAGTTAATGTTAAACCTACTCGCAGCTAAATTACGTCTGTAGTATAAATAAATATTTGCTACCATCAGTGAGTGTTCAAGTGTGATAATCCCAGTGCCCACAATCATTGTTGTCAAACACTAATAGTATAGAGGTAAAACGACTGTAAAAGCTGTTGTCTAGGAGTTAAAGAGTCTTCATAAGATAATTTGTACAAATAATTTACAAAATCCTTTTCAGACCAATAAAGTCATTAATCATTATGTTACACTCTGTGTATTCATAATGGGTTACACAACACCCCCAAAACACTTTGTGCCGTCCTAAACACAATCAGTGAATAAACAACTACCAATATAAAAGGAAATACACAACAGTGTTATAGTTTGAGTACACCACACTGTTTGTTATAGTTTGAGTACACTTACACTGTTTTCTTGTTAGTCCTGCCTATGGGGGGCAATGTCCCTGAATCTGAAATAAATCATTGAGTTACATTTCACAAACTGGTGATTGTGTACTGTGTGAACTGGTGATCACATGACTTTTTCATGGCAATGAAACAAATATACATTGATTAAAGTTTTAAAAAATTTAAGAACAGATGTTGGAGAGGGAGACTCACTGTTTTGTATGCTCTTTAACCTAACATTAGAGATAGTTATTAGAAACATACACATTGACACTCGAGGAACGATAACAGGATACTTTCTGAGGGAAACTCAAGGCCCACAACCAACGGGCACACTCTACAACAAACCACTCCAGTATCTTGCACATGCTGATGACATAGCACTTCTAGGGAAAAGTATTAAAGACGTATCAAAATCCTTTATTGAATTAGAAGACGCATATCTACAAGCAGGGTTGGAAGTTAACCAAAAAACAAAATACATGATCATTATAAGAGAGGCACAAACAGATGAAACAATTAAAATTAGAAACCAAACTTTTGAAAAAGTAAATTAATTCAAATACCTAGGATCTTTGTTAAATGAAAGAAACGAATTACTAACAGAAATACAAGAAAGACTATCAGCCAGAAACAGGGCATACTTCAGTATCAGGAAATACTCAAAAGTAAAAACATTACAAGAGAAACAAAGAAAACTATTTATAAAACTGTGATCAGACCAGTTGTAACATATGCAAGGGAGAGTTGGACCCTAACAAAAACAGCAGAAAACCTATTAAACACATGGGAGAGGAAAGTTCTCAGGCAAATATACGGGCCAACAAAGGATGAATATGGATGGAGAATACAAACCAACCAGGAATTATACAGTCTTTACCAGGATCCCACGATAGTGGCAGAAATAAAGAGAGGCAGGCTACGCTGGGCAGGACACCTAGAGAGAATGCCAAATGACAGAGGAACGAAGAAGGTGCATCACCAATACCCCAGAGGAAAAAGGCTCAAAGGCAGACCTAGGCTTAGGTGGATAGATGATGTAGAAAAAGATCTGCAGCAGTTGTAAGTCCAAGCATGGAAAAGATAGGCATTAGTTAGGTCTGAGTGGAAGGAAGTGGTGAGGCAGGCCAAAGCCCTACATGGGCTGTAGCGCCACAGGGATGGATGGTTTGTGAACTGAAACAAAAGATAAAATTGAAAGAAGTGTGAGAATCAATTATATGAAATTGTCTTTCTATAAGATTTGGTCGCATATCCTATATTCAGTTATTGAGCCAAAGTTGAATTGTTCCACTGAAAACCCATCACACCATCCAAATCTTTCTGTCACTTCTCTTTTCATAGATTCAATACATTTTTTTCCTTTTACTTATACTTTTACTGATCTCAAGTAAGCTAATTACTTCTAAGAAATGTTTATATGTGAGTCATTGTACCAAAAGCTTAACATTATCAATGTCATAAATCTTAGTCAAGTCAAATCTTTAATGGCTTTACCATCTGGGAAACTTTCCATATCCACCGAAGTGCTGTCTTGTGAGTCACTGAAAAATGTGGCATCTCGGATTTGCTTGTGAGCGAGACTAGGATGTCTACCACTTTTTGGAGCACTGAGTGCTGTCCCTTCAAATTCTCCTGGTTTTAAAATCTTAGACACATAAATCTGGGCAGATTTTCCTCTTTTCCAGACAGGGAAACTTGAGTCATGGTACTGATGTGCAAACAATGGCACCTACAGGAGAAAAATGTGTGTATACTGTACAAGAAAAACAACTAATTTGACTATTTACTAATTCATATCTAAAATTTCATATTGTCACGTCTATATTCACTTACAGTGCACACAGATCACACAATGCTTATATTAATTACTAACTATACTATATATTATCTATCTATGAACAACAGAGGCGTTGTGGAGTTCAGTGAAAGATAGTGACTATCATTTATTATAAATACACACTCACAAATAAGTAATCATAATCACACATAAAGAATACTTATCATACTTATAACCTATTCATTATCTTACTAATTAATATATTGATATCATGGACTTAAACTTATAACAACCGCCATGATTCTCTCCATATCTTCTCCTTTCTGATTGGTCCGTCTTTTCCAAGTTCCATACTCTATAAGTTCTAAGTCCTAATTCTCACCTCTCTTAACTCCCTTAACTCAACTTATCTCTGTGACAAATATCTTTACAATTTAAATGCAAATATTGTAAACATATTTACATTTTCTATTAGGGTGTGATTCATGTATATCTCGCAGATCTACTTCATGATTTTTTTAAATGTTCATTATGTTAAGATTATGTACTATTTTAGTGTTATAAAGCTTTCAACTTTGATGCATTCGTGGTCGCCACTGGTTCTATACTTGCAGTCTTCACTTTTCCTTCATTGGGTGGAACACATTACTCATTTTTATAAAAATAATTCCTGATTTGTAATACCCTGACCCAGATCTGACAGGTAAAGTCTCAAAATACCCTGACCCGGTACCCAGACAAAAACTGTACCCAGCTCAGTCTTATTTTGTGAGAACAGGTAATTGTTTAAGAAACAATACAATTTCTTAAGGCATTTCCATGCTCACATTTTTTGATGGTTTAATACGCTTTGCTCTCTCTTGCCACTGGAATTGGAACAAGTTTCTAGAACAAACTTTGCTTCCGAATCTCTCGGCAATGGTTAAAGCTGTGTTGCCATTGTGGTCCTCCATGTTGACATCAGCACCTTATTTAAGATATTTGTTAAAATGCTTAAAAGTCTTGCTAAACTTTACCAAAATTAAATAAAACTAGAAATCAATTCTGAAATCTTAAATGAAAAAGTAACATGAATTAGTTTTTAAAAATGCTAAAAAGATAATGCAAGAAGTCATACGAGGAAAAAGAAGATTTGAATGAAATAAGAAAGTGAAACTTGGACCCTAACAAAAACCAGCAGAAAACATGGGAGAGGAAAGTTCTCAGGAAAATATATGGGCCAACAAAGGATGAATATGGATGCAACCAAACAGGAATTGTCAAGTTTATAACAGGATTCCACGGTAGTAGCAGAAAAAAAGAAGGAGAGGCTACGATGGGCAAGACACTCAGAAAGATTGCCAAATGACAGAGGAGTGAAGAGGTTGCACCACCAAAACCCCAGATTCAAAGGCAGAACTAGGCTTAGATGGATGATGTTGAAAAAGATCTGCAGCAGCTGGGAATCCAAGCATGGAAAAGAAAAGCATCAGTTAGGTCTGAGTGGCAGGATGTGGTGATGCAGGCCAAAGCCCTTCATGGGCTGTAGTGCCACAGGGATGGACAGATGGTCTGAGTGGCAGGATGTGGTGATGCAGGCCAAAGCCCTTAATGGGCTGTAGTGCCACAGGGATCGATGGATAGAGATGCAAAGGTAGATTTTTATCATATGATACACAATAAAAACATACATCACAGAAAGTACTAAAAAAATAGCTAAAATAGCTTTATGGATTACCATGACTCAACAATGTATTAATAATCTCTCCATTTCCTTTTGCAGATGCCAAGTGTAAAGGTGTCTTCCCTGTTGGTGTTTGCATATTGACTTTGGCCCCTGTTAATGAAAGAAACAACACATTTCATGGACTAATTGTTATACAAACACGAATTGTAAAATAAGGAAGAAATACCAGTTTCCTTCCTTTTCTTATAATTTCAGGCTATTTACTAAGCACTAAAAAAAATGAAACAACAATATCTTTTTTACTCTTACCAGTTTCAATTAGTTTGATTGCTATTTCCTCATATCCCCTATGTGCTGCAAGACAAAGTGCAACGAAAGCTCTCTCTTCTAGCCATGCCTTTCTTGACTTCTTTGTCATGTAGTCACTAGCTGGTGTGTGATAGTCGGAAGGATCAGTCACTCCTAGTTTAAAAACCTGTTGGGTGATAGTGAGCTTCAATGAGAAACTAATCTGATTCTGGTTTAGTAAATGTTTATGGATAAAAGAGAGAAACACAAATTCAAGTTCATTGAACGTGAATTGAAGTTTATTCAGTCTAAACTTCCTAACTCTCTTGAGAATATCACATAAGTATAAGTAATTATAACAAGAACATGTACTTTTCAAAGTCTTATTTAAGACTGACCCATTCAACATCATTGGCCACAACTGCCTCAACCAGTTCTCTGTACATGGGCCATACTTTGAGCTTCACAGTGCAACCAGGCACAAAATCATTGCTGCGTACATCTGACTGATCTGGCAACTCTCCTGGATTTAAAAAAATAAAATTATATGGCTAACTAAGAAATCATGAAGGAGCATGAGCCTAAAAGAGGTCTAAAAATCGTATACTATGTCTATATATTTATATATACCGGGGATACATACACACAGGATATAATATATATATATATATATATTTATTTTTTTTAAACACACCTTCATCCAGATAACTTAATCTTTGTAAGGAAACAGGAATTCCAGTAGCTATTTCTACTTCATCCTTGAGCTGTGCTACAGTCATATCATTGTAGACATCATTTAGTTTGAATTTCTCCTCAGTAGGCTCAACAGTCACATGAACAGTGAAAGCATCAGGTCTCCGTTTGTACTTTTTAACTTTCTCTTTCCCTCTTTTATGTTGTAGACCATTTAGTTTACTCATTCTTTGATGAATATCACAAATTAGAAATATTCTCTCTTGACACTAGTAGGTAGAGCCTTATTTATCCATTCTTAATAATAACTGATCCTACTTGTTATTTTTTTTAGTAAAGTTGCATGTTGTAGTTCTTACATATGTGCTAAAGCTTTAGAAGTATTTCATACCTAAAATAAAAAGAATAAAAAACAATTTATAATTAATGAATTCTGTTATTAGATTATTAATTAATTATTTTAAGGACATTAATTTATAGATCTTGACACAAAAATAATGCTATTCATTCCAAAGCTGAACATAGATAAATAAGGGGAAAAAGTATTTTTAGGCTATATCAATGATTCATTCATTGCTTAAATTTATAAAGGCAGTGTCCATATGTTCGGCGCGTCGGACGTATATCTCCCGCACTATCTGTTCGGCAACCAAGTCACATGACCACTGGAAGAATACTTTATCGAGATACTCGTCCGGCTACCAAGTCACATGACCGCCGTAACAAAGTGGCTCAAGATATTTGTCCGTCAGCCTTGTCTCGTGACCACAATGATTCATTTATTTATTTATTTATTTATTTAGGCATTTTTATATAGCGCTTATCATAAAGCTCTAAGCGCTTTACAATTATTAAAACATGTAAACTAAGTAAATACAAATGAGACACTAGGATAGTAACTACTATTCTGGCTATAAAAAGAGGACACTTTGACACTTCAGGATTAAACCGAAACAGAAAATTAGGTAGGGCAAGGAGGGTGCATCACAGGTCATAGGCGGACCTAAACAGATGAGTTTTAAGGGACTTTTTGAAAATGGACGAGGTTTCACTATGACGTATATGGAAGGGGAGCTGGTTCCAGAACGTGGGCCCATGGAAGCAGAAGGAGCGTTCACTGATGGTCTTAGTTTTAGTTCATAACTATTGTTCATTTTAAAATCTATTTCTCTACCATGAAATTTACTAAGTATCTTGCAAACAAATAATAGAAAAAATACTTGGGTATATTAATCAAAACAAAGTGGGGGATAAGCAATAATACATTCTAAAAGGAAGCAATGCTGAGAGGGAGAGATAATTAAGGTGATAAAAAATAAGAATGCTAAAAAAATAATAGTGAGGGTGATAAATAATTATGTTTCTTTTGGGAAGGCCGATAGTTCACAAAGAAATATGCCCTACATCTTAATGTAGGGCCGATATAGTGGTAGCCTAGCCTACTTCTCATGCAATACTAAATACTAATCCTGTAATACAACTTTATTGACATAAGTCTATTGAAGTCTATTGGTCTAATTTTATTTGATTCATATTTTGAATTTAGGCTTCAAGCTAGATCTTTACAAGATGTTTAATCAAGATAAGGGACTTTTTCTTAGAAGAGTCAGAATCAAGTAGAATAGTAATAGTACTACTAGTTAGTATATAGGCCCACTAGTTTAATATTCAAAGTCAAACACTTAATGTATCTCAGAGCATCGGAATATATTACCATGTTCAGCATTTATTTATTATCTAGGCATCAGCTGACTAATATATGTACACAATATTGGAATATCAAATGCAATGCAACTATTTTGCCGGCGACCACTTGTTACATGACATGTCTACCACCAAATAATATCTTTCACTAGTCGTCAGAAGAATTTCTCCCTCTTGTCGTCCGGCGGTCATGTGACATGCGAGCTGGACATGTAGACACTTCGATTTACAAAATAAAATGAAATGGTATCCATTTCAAATGTTATAAAGCTAAATAAGCTCTAACTAGTATCAATTAAAAATAATATGCCTTGTCATATCTTGTTACCGTGATTTAGATAAGCCCCACACCACTCATGACATGACTCATGTCTATGATGTCAGAGTATCATATTCTATAGGCCTATAGTTTGTAAATATCTTGCAAAGTAGTTGGGGTAAAACAATTGCCTAGAACAGATCCCCTTAAACCCTTAAAGGCTGTATAATAAATTCATTAGTATGGGCTACTACTACCCACCAAATTCAAATAACCCATATAAATATAAGCCCCCTATATTGCTCAAACTCAAATTCATAAAATAAAAGCTGTTTTGATTTGGCCTATTCAGCCTGTGCTGTGTCTACTTACATTAACAATATTTGTCATATATCATATAAATATAAGAAATGGTAAAGAAAGTTTTCAATTGTGTTTTTTTTTTTTTACAATAATTTATAGCATTATGCATAAAATTGGTTGTTAAAATTTGGCGAATATACAAATAAATGTGTTACAATATTGACGCCATATTGTTTATGCTGCTAAGGAAATAATAGCTGCGCACAGAATGAAAAAGTAACTCCGTACTTTACCATTTTTCAATTCGCCAAAGTTTTCAAACACACATACAATTGGATATTTTAATTTTAAACATAATCAATTTATTACAATTTATCAAATATATACAAGACTAAGAGTATGTTTTCAATCTTGTGTTTTTGATACCCAGAAAATATTTTCTTTACAAAAGGCCTAAGCTTCATGAGCCCAACATTATTAATGAAGCTTTTAAAGATTGTTACCTCTCATACTTGACTAGTAAAACAGAGCCATGGCAAACAAAATCTGCACCCATGACAAAGTCTGAAATTTGGCACCCTCTTCCATAAAAATTGTATATTAACGTACACATAGGAGTGAGAAATGAAACAATATCCCCACTGTGATGCCTTAAAAATAACAATTACATCTAATTTTAAATAAAAAAACAAGAAGATAATGAATCTAAACATTTATTGTTTAAATATCTATAAAAAGGTCATTTTATTTATTGCAAAAATATCGATCGACCAATAAATTATTTTATAAGAATCAATTAAATGTTCAACAGTCTCCAATCACAACTTCTTTGAACGTAATCACTTCATTAACCGCAGCTTATTTCGTTTTCATTCTTCCGTAAATAAAAGAGGGGAAGGTCATCGGTACCAAATATCAACAATGCTATCGTCTTTTCGAAAAGCTGTGGTGTCAACAGCGGTAAGATTCTCTTTTAAAAGTTTATTAGGATATTTTATTAAGCTTGATTAAACACTCCTCGACTTTGTAGAAAAAAAATACAAGTTTAATTCATCTCATTCTACACAATACTCAAATCGTCTATTGATATTCATTGCTGCTTACTGCTTAGTTAGGTACTTGGATAAAATTTTCAAATTGAATTAATTAAAAAATGAACACACCTGTAAGATAGCTCTTGTTAAATGAAGTAATAATATGTTATCATTTTTCATGTAGCACTTTTGGTTAAAAAGTTATGATTTTTTTCGTGAATAAAAACTCACTTTTTTTAACATAGACATAGAGATTTGTGACCTCTTTTCCAAAAATTTTCACGAAAAGGCTGATAACTTTATAGCAGAGTAAACAAATATTATGAAACTTTCCAGAAGTGTTCATCATCATATTAGCAACATTTTTGCTGATTTAAAAACTAAAAAAATTAAATATAATATTTTAAAAATATTTTTAATGTCATTATAAAAACTTCCACAAAAAAAAATTAAAAAATTATTTTAAAAAAATTAAGAC